GCGCCTTTCTACCTCCTCCGACAGCTCATGTCATCTCTAACCATCAGGACATTGCTACTCCAAGTGGGAATTATATTAAACTCACTTTACACAGAGAGAGAGAGTAACCGACTTACTTACTCAGGACCCCACAGCAAGCAAATAGCCAAGTCTGAGTTAAGATCCAGTCACATTGATTCCGAAGTTCATGCTTTTTAGCTACCCCAGGATTCCTCGTCTTGGCGTGGAGACAGAACTAAACGCCGTGTCTGTATACACTCTCACCTATCCTTCCAGGCAGGCAGAAGGGGAATTGAGGCCGGGGCTTTGAAGGCAACACTGAGTCTGCCCTGAGGTTTTGTCTTGTTTTCATAGACCTGCCTGGGGCCACGTAGGGAAGTGGGGGTCAGGACTCCACTTTAAAGTTGGAGTCTTTAAAACCTCTAAGCTGGTTGGAAGACACCCTATGATTATAAAACATATTTTAGAAAAGCTCATAGTTGTTTCATCTGAAGGATTGATGATAATATTGCCATATTAGTGTTCTAAGAGTTCGTTGGGAGATGGGAGAATCTCATTAAGCCAAAAAAAGCTAACTGTATATATTCTGTAAGCTTCTACTTACCAAATGGCTAAGAGCATCATTATATAGCATCTGAGGCCCGATAGCCAAGCTGTCTCCACGTTGCTTTAACCCACCTACTTAAACCGTTGTGTATTTCCAAAGTTAAAAACTGGCAAAAAGAAAAAAAAAAGAACAGAATATGTAGTTGGTGACAACAGCAGGGATCGGTGGTGATGCGATTTTAATTCACGCGGTGGTGATGCGATTTTAATTCACGCGTCAGAATTTAAAGCACTTGTTCTAAACATAATGGTCAAAGCCAACACAGGCGCTAAGGTTATAGCGCCCTTGTTCAGAGTTTCATTTTCTAAAGACAAAGGGCAGCCAGAGATGGATGCAGACGTGCTGGCTTGCTTGCCTTTAGCTCAGTTTCGCCAACTCTTACACAGTTCAGGAACTCCTGCCTAGGGAATGGTCCTGACTACAGTAGGCTGTATCCCACATCTATGAACTTAGTTAAGACAATCCCTCGCAGACACGCCCACAGGCAAACTCCTTGGAGATAAACCCTCATTGAGACTCTTCCCAGGTGTTTCTAAATTGTGTCAAGTTGACAAAGCTAACTACCACAACAAGTAATGTCTGAGTAAATTTTTTTTTTGAGACAGGGTTTCTTTCTTTTTTTCTTTTTTGATTTTTATTGAGCTCTACATTTTTCTCTGCTCCCTTCCCTGCCTCTCCCCTCCCACCTTCAACCCTCCCCCAAGGTCCCCATGATCCCAATTTACTCAGGAGATCTTGTCTTTTTTTCTACTTCCCATGTAGATTAGATCTATGTAATTCTCTCTTAGTGTCCTCATTGTTGTGAGACAGGGTTTCTTTGTGTAGCTTTGCAGGCAGTCCTGGATCCTGCGCTATAGACCAGGCTGGCCTCAAACACACAGAGATCACCTGCCTTGGCCTCCCAAGTGCTGGGATTAAAGGTGTGCAACACCACTGCCCAGCTGAGTTATTCTTTTTTTTTTCAATTGCATATTTCATGCATTGAAGCTTTTATGATTTATTTATTTATTTATTCTATGTGTCTTTTACATCATGTATCTTGATCCCATTTATTCCCCCCATCCCTTCGCATCTGCGCTCCTTCCCTGCACACCCCCCAAAGAAAATACAATTTAAGAGAAAAAATANAAACAGGGTTTCTCTGTAGCTTTGGTGCCTGTCCCGGAACTAGCTCTTGTAGACCAGGCTGGCCTCGAACTCCCAGAGATCCGCCTGCCTCTGCCTCCCGAGTGCTGGGATTAAAGGCGTGCGCTACCACTGCCCTGCTAAGGGAAAAACTTTAAAAAAAAAAATCTTGTCTTGGAAGCTGCAGTATGATAGAGTGAGTCACACAGTAAACCCCTTTGTCCATTTGGAAGTGTTCACTGCATTGATCTGGTTCGAGGCCTCTGGTTTCTACTACCCGGTTGAAGCTGAGCTCTTGCTAGGGAGCCTCTTGGAGACCTTGTTGTTGTCCTGTATGTGGAGATCTTGCAGTTTGGGGTCTGCAGGTCAGCTCCCTTCACATGCTCCAGCAGATCATAGTAGATAATGATGTGTGGATAACGGGGCGAGCCAAATCATATCCTTTGCATCTTGGTCCCCCAGACGGGAAATGGGGACAACTCTCCCATGCTTACAACTTCGGGGTTGACTCACCCACACTTGCACTAACAGGGTTGGCTCTATGGTCCTGCCCTGGAGAGATGACTCGATGGTTAAGAGCACCAGCTGTTCTTCCAAAGGACTCAGGTTCAATCCTCAGCACCTACATGGCAGCTCACAATTGTCTGTAACTCCAGTTCCAGAGGATCTGATACCTTCACATCAATGCACATAAAACAAAGTTAAATAGATTTTTAAAATGTCTGAGTAATCTTAAATACTACGCATTCTGTTATTTGTTAAAACACCTAACTTTCTCCCCTCAGAGCTGGGGATCAAACTCAGGCCTCATGTTCTCAGGGAAGTGTTCTCCTTCTGAGTCACCTCCCCAGCCCCTTTCATTTCTTTCTAACTTGCTGTACTATTGAAGTGTCCAAAAGACGGTTCGTGTAAGTGCAGCCTTCCTCTTGGCTAGATGGCAGGAGAACACGTCACTTAATGTGATGCTTGCTTGAAGTGCTCGTTCACCAGTCTATTGCGGTACGATAATTTTCCACTAATCTTGCTTAAATTTTTATTAAGAAAGCTGCCAGAGTATTTCAAGTGGGTTTTTGTCATATTCCTAGATTTTTTCATTAACTTGTGATAATACTTCTTTTTTAAAAAAAAATAGTTAATCTAGTTTGCAGTCTGAAAATAAACCCTTGGGTCATGATATTATTAATTATTATTATATATAATATATTATAATATATTTTTACTAAACTTATATATTCTATTTGTAGTACAGTTTTTCATCTGTTTAGAGAATCTTAAATCTATAGCTGAAATTGCTATGTAATTCCTTTTTAAATTTATTGACTATAGTGCTGCCTCGTCTGTTACGTTGCCTCCCGTGATGGACGCCACATATTTAACTGCTTGCGTGTCAGCAGCTGGAGAGCCGGGACCAGGTCATGTTTGATTTTCTGTCTTTTGTATCGAGCACAATGCTTAAGGACATGGTAGGCGCTTGATGAATCTGTGTTGAACGATGAGAAGAACAGTGTCTGGACACACTTTCCTACAATCCAATCTGGCCCACTCTTGACGTCTGCCATGTATTGTCTTCATAACTCACGTTCCAGTCCCGGTAACTTTGTGTTGTTCATTTTACTAGTTCCCGTGCAGAAATACCATTGTTGAATTCAGTACTGTAGCGAGACAATTCAATTAGAGATCTCTGCACCAACATGGCTATATCTCAAAGATGTTAAATATGACAAAAATAAAAAGAGCATAGGCATAATTTGGGTAGGCGTACCCCAGTTCTGTGTGTTAAATACTCAATGCTACCGGAAAGTGACGAAGTCTTCAAGAGGTGGGTTTGATGAAGCTTTGAGGCCTTGGAAATGTGCCCTTAAACAGTACTGTGAGATGTTAGTCTCTTCTCTCTCGTATCTGGGTCATGCTGCGTGCACTTCTGTTCTACTGGGTGTTTTTGCCATGATACGCTGCCAAATCACCAGTCCAAAATCAATGGGACCAATTATGGATTGAGCCTGTGAACCACCTTCTCTCTGAGCTTCGATTCTCAAGCATGCTGTTAGAATACTGGGATGTTGACTGATATGAAGCTCTAAACATCCAAACACTAACCTGGATGTGGTGATACACATTGGTAATCCCAGCACTTGGAAGGCGGAAGCAAGGGAATCTGAAGGTACCCCCCCCACTACATAGCAAGCTTGAGACCAGGAGATGCTGGACCAAACAGACAAAGGCTAACAATGTTAAGCACTTGTATTAGGTTTGTTTGTGCTGCCGTCTCTAAACTCTGCTGATTCTGTGTATCCTTCTGGCGCATTGCTCTGCATCAAGGGGCTAAAATCTATGTGAATGGCACCCATGTGGCAGGCTTCTGATTTGGTTTTGCCAATTCGAAGCACTGGCAGGGGACTGAAAAGCAGCAGAGAGTGAGATACCATTTTCCCCCCTGTTCCTGGCAGTACTGCAAATATGGCAACCCCAGCAATAGGAAGAGGGGGCAGAAGAGGCTCCATGGTTAATTCAACAATGCTATGCTGACCTTCAACAAGGAAGTAGTCTGTTAAATTGGTAGGGTGGTAAGGGAGGATTGTCTGTACTCTGTCAATCATGTTTTAAATAAACACTGATTGGCTGGTAGCCAGGCAGGAAGTAAGTAGAGGTGGGACAAGGAGAACAGGAGTATTCTGGGAAGAAGGAAGCTCTTTCTGCAGTCCTGCCCAGATCACCGAAGAAGCAGGGTGTGACCTACCCTGCTGAAAACGGTACTGAGCGCGATGTGGCTAACATAGATAAGAATAATGGGTAAACATAAGTTATAAGAGCTAATACGAAGCCTGAGCTAATGGGTCTATCAGTTTATATCTTATGGAGACCTCTGTGTGAACTTTTTGGGGGCTTGCCGGCTGTGGGAACTGGGCAGGACAGAAACCCAACAAGCAGGACCTAATGTTACAGTAGAGGCTCTGACCTCCACTTCCTCTGCCCTTTGCCCTCTTGCCATTGCTGCCCATTGTCCCAAACCAACCGGAAGCCAGAAGCCAAGGCAGTCTGGTGAGGTAATTTGTATCATCCGGTTTCCGAGCACTGAAGGAATTAACTTGGAGGTCAAGCGGAGGAAATGACACGAACCCCACTTTTCCACCTGCTTCTCTAACTTTCCAAATCTTTGGAACCAATGCCAGTGCCAAATCCCTTTATATGAAATACACTGAGTTGTTCGTACTTTCTTATTAAGAAGTGATGAATTCAGTCTAGTTTATGGGTACAGCATCTGTAGCCAAGAAAGAAAAATTTACATGAGAACAAGAAATCTCATATTGGAGTGAATGTTTGCTCTGGGTGGAAGAGAACAGAATGGAAGGGGGAACAAGTCATACAGACATCATATGTATCTAAAACATTTAATTTTCAAAACTAGCAGGTAAATGTATTTTTTTTTAGTTTCTATGTTTATTAATTTAGTTCTATGTTTATCAGTCTATGTTTTCATTTGCTAGACCTATTTAATCATTACCCAAATCCTGTGGGTGTATACTATAAATGAATGAAGCCAACTTTAGTTAATATTCTTTGACTGTGATGAAATATCCCGACAAAGGCGACTTGAGGGGCAAGAGTTTATTCTGGATCACAGTTCAAGTTATAGTCCATCATGGTGGTGGGACTTGAGCTGCTCACGTGGTGTCCACAGTCAGGAACCAGAGAGAAGAAAGCAGCTGCTGAGCTCACTTCCTCCTTATACAGTCCAGGACCTTAGGGAATGGTGCCACCCACAGAGGGCAAGTCTTCCCACTTCAGCTAACCTAATTAAGATTCCCCCTGCACCTGCAAACTCAGGGGCACCTCTCACAGTTAACCCTAGATCTCATCAGGATGCCAATTGAGATTAACTTTCACCAACCCTGAGGGTGTGGATTCTGGCTCTACAGCCAGTTTGAAGTTAACGTAAATTAAGGCATTGAATTTCTTGTAATCTTTGTATCCTCATCCATAAGGATAAGGACAACAGTGTCCACCTTATAGGATCACTGTCATGATTAACGGGGATAACATATGCAAAATTCCCAGCTTACTGCTTAGGAGCCAACAAGCCCTCAAGGGATCACAGAGCCTTCGTTGTGAATTTCGGGAACAACAGGGTGTGGTCCTATAAACTGCCCTGTGTGCTGCACCACGATTCAAGGGGGCTGCATTCTTTTCTATTTGAAAACTCAGATCAAGGTCCTTCTCTGCATACAAGAGCGATGAATGCTCGATGCAGAAAGTACTTAAAAATATGAGAATATACAGGGACGAAAATTAAAATGTTGCTGTGATTTTGGCAGAATTTATAAACGAATATAAATTACGTAATGACATCACTTCTGGCTGTGTTAATATTCTAGTGGCTAGACGAGGGTTGACTTATTTATTATATTGACTGTGGGATATTTGGTTTGTTTCTCTAATGTTTAATTGCTATGATTAATGCTATAGTAGGCATCTTTGTTCTGATATATATTCTTGTATGATTTCTTTGTGCAAAATATTTGTGGAAATTTTAATTAAATATTATGTATGTTTTATGACATATAATACACACAGAGAAAGAGAATTCTTTGGGTACCATGGTGAGGAGTCTCTAGCCATGGTGAGGTAATAATCTAGCTATGGTGAGGAGTCCTATATTCCCCCAAATTACTTTTCAATAGGGGAACTGCAGCAGACATGGATCTGCAACAGGGGACTAGCCACTTTGATGAGTGAGGAATATCAGGGACATGCTACAGAGCAGGACTTGCACAGGCCAATGAAAGCAAACTTCAACAGACTCCATGCAGGGAGAATCTCATTCAACTTCTTAAGTGTAGTTTCTATCTACAGCCAACTAGATGCAGACACCAGCTAGAAATGATCCGGTACCCAGACCGTGGGTTTTCTGAATGGAGGTCTTGTGGTGACTTAGTTGGAAAGCTAATGGGGTAGAAACAAGTGTCACATCTCTGGCTGACCTTGAGATGTGATTTTCTTGTGTCTTGGCTACTCACCTTGTACCTGTCCTCCCTTCTAGCATGTGGGTTCTTAGGTCCACTTTCAACTGCCTAAATGGGGAGACGAAGGGTAAGTATCAACTCCCAAAGCCTTCCACTCACTTGTTAATTAATTTCTGCAATAAAATCCTACCGGCACCTGCCCGCTTCAGACTAAGATGGAGCCAATGAATTTGAAAAAATAACTAAAGTCAATGAGCTGCTCTTCTGATAGGGTCCGGAAAACTCAACCACCGTAATTAGTGAGACGTGCAAAGTGCGGAGGTGCCACTTGCTGATAAAAGGAACTTCTTCCAGGCATTTCGACAGAGGACCCTGCCCGTATGGGAACACCTTGCTCCATTGACTCAGAAGAGCGTTGCTGGGTTTACAAGCGGAGAGTACTAATCTGGAAAACGTCTCCCCTCGGCTGAAATAGGAGATCTATTTCCTTATCCCTCCCCCCCAGACCATTGTGTCAGAATGTTGGTAAGAAATTGCGACAGTCTCTTCTGAGCTCTATGAACCCCAAAGCAGTCTGCCTAACTCTCTACCTCTATATGAGAAAAATAAGTTTTGGAATTAAGGTGATGGAGAAGCTGCATCTTATACGGACAACGGCTGTCCGGGAGCTCAGTTTGCCTGCATGGTTTCAGGAGAAGTTTCTTGAAAGCCACTGCAGAGAGTCTGACACTGTAGGTTTGGGATCTGCCTTAGCTGGGAGGAAGCCATGGGTCTGGGCAGAACCTCATCTGTGTTCTAGGTTCTACATTCTATTGGGAGATGATTAGACATAGGGGTGGTCGACTGGGCCTTCTTTTCTGTGTCTTAACAGAAATGAATTTATTTTAATTTATACTCAAATAATTCAATTATACATCAAAACCTCAGTTCACATTTATAACCAAAATACTGTTTTTCAAAATTAACGTATATAGGCTTAAAATAAAATGAGTGTAAAGGTAAACTATCTTAATGCAGATAGAACTTGACTTTGCATTAATTGAAAATACTAAAGAAAACTTTCAGGTTGCTATTTTGGAATCCAGCTGTCAATAGTTCTTTAGAGTATAACAGACTCCATCAAAGTGAGGTTAATTTTTATTTTGCTTATTCAACTCGTTATCTTTCTTTTGGTTCTTGACCAGCCGACCTATGGAACAGCGCCTGAAAAGGGGAGAGAGGATTAAAGAAAGAGACAGTAGACAGAAGGATAGACTGTCAGGAGGGTTCTCAGTGACTGCAGCAGCCCCAGATTTATTTCTCATAGCCCTTTTAGACCCAAAGCAAAGGAGGGAGGGTGCAGAAGACTTCCTTACCACGGTTCAAGGAATAAACAAGCACAATCACCTTCTTACCTCTCAAACATCTAGTAACCATTGCTCAAATACCCTGCTATTTGGCCTTGAGGAGCAAGAGCAAGCTTGAACTCTCTGACCTAAGGTCAAGATGGAGTGGAGTCACTGTGGGATCCCACATCCCATTAGTCTGAGGCATCTGTGTCCTTGACAGGACCATTCTTAGTTTATGAATGCTCACTCATATGAGTACACTCGCTCCCCCCAACTCTGTATCCTAGGCTGACCTTAAACTTGAGGCAATCCTCCTGCCTCAGTCTCCTAAATGTTGGGATTTCAGGCATGAGCCCCTGCACCTGGCTTCTGAAGAGTTAATTTATAAAAGTCATCAATATTGTGCATACATACACGAGAAAAACAAGGGAGCTCTGCCCATCAAGCTATGACCCGAAGCTTCTTCGGCATCTAGAGTTGGTTTTATGTTTAGGAAAAGCACTGTGCCAAACTGCCTGGCAAAGTTCCTCTCCCCGTGTGTCACACTGCTCCTCGGAGCCCTTCTCCACCACAGTTACTTTTCCTTTTGCTCTGAATCATAGCACGATGGTTTTTTTTTTCCCAGGGCATTCTATCAACAATAAATTACAAGTCCTGTGCTACAGACAATGCTATTACTCAGTTGAGGGACCGACGGCTTCGTAACCAAGCTGGTTCGCATGTCGACGGCGGATGCTTTCTTGCTGTATTCAATTTCAAAGGAATGAAAGAAAGGCCTTTACGCTCACTGCAGTGCACGCCCAGACTGACCCCCGAAAATTTCTTCCTTCCTCGCGTCCTGGGTTTTTTTTCCAGGAGAGATCACAAAGGTGAGATGGATGCTTTCAACAAATCTTGAAGAGAGGATTGTGTCAGAAATCAGAACTTGGCCACTTTATGTTACCCTGTGATGTACGAGGCCTCACTCATGACAGCCAGGCCCGGGCAGTGGGGTCATTTCCTCGGGCAGCAGCCTGTTATGGGACTCTGACGAATGTGCCCAGTTCTCATTTGACTCAAGGGGTGGGCTGTGAGGCCTTGCCTTCGTGCTTCCCAGGTAACTGCTGACAGCAATAATTTATAGCTTCATGCTCGGTGAAATGGCCTTTCTGTGAGAATGACCTCCCACAAATGCACCATGAAGGCCACTGTGGACCCAATCATTGTCATAATTGTTTTATATTTTCCACTAATCAAGGGCATAACCCCAAGGTAGATACCATTATCTGTTATTATAGCCTTGCTCGGTGTACGAAGCCACCGAGGCACAGAGCTTACCCTGCTTAAAGACGTAGCTCACACGAACGCAGGCAGTTTGGTTCAATCTTTTATGCTTTTGGCAACTACACTGTGTTGCTGCAATGCTGCCCTACTGGAGAGCTGGAATGGAGGCTAAACACGCATCCGATTGTCTTAGTTTACAGCGACTTAACAGAGGGGAGGCTGCGCGGTGAGTCTCCCATAAACACTTTCTGCTAGTTGGTCAAAGGATGAGGTGGACAGAAACGCCCCCACAGTTTGTTCAAACTAACAACGGAAGTCCCGCTGTCAGTGAACCTGGGGTCAGGAGAGGAAGGGAAGACTAATTTCAGCTTGGCTATGGGGTGGCGGGTAAAGTGTCAATCTAAAACAGGGAGGAGGTCAGTCACCCGAGATGGCTGCACCAACGCAGTGTTCGGGGGTCCCCGTAGAGCTACCCTTATGACAGCCACCTAGCCCTGACATCATATCTGGAAGTCTTCGAGCCACGTTAGTGAATTACCTTGACGGAAATAAAGGAGTCTAAAGTCTCAAGTCACGATCTGGTTTCCAGCGAGCTGTGATAGGGAAGTTAATTAAAACTAGGAATTGAATTTTTTTCTTTTTAAGAGAAGTGGCCATTGAGTGTTAATCAGCTGTAAAGAAGGGAGCAGAAAGCCAGGGGAATCTATAAAACCGCTCTGCCCTGTAAGCACAGTTACTTCACCTCTGACCTCCGTAGCTGAGCAAGGATTTGGCTCCGGCAATCTTCTCTGGGAAGCCAGCGGTTTGAACTGCTGCCACCAGCAAATGAGTTTTCTCTACCGAGAATGAATTCTCCTGAAGTGCTGAAACAAAGGTCTGTGTCCCGGGTGGCTATTATTTATTTGCTGGAGATGCTGCGAAATATCCCCTACTGTTTTCCCTGGGTCTGGGAACTGTGAGCCATGGTACTTAGCCTCAGGTCTAACGGAATGAAGCTCACCAAAGGGAGAAAGTGGCGGGGTGAGGGACAAGAAATATGAAAAGCGCCTACTAATACAGGCCTCGAAGTAAGCGAGTCATAAAAGCGAACAAGCCTTGTTTACTGACCTCCTCCCGTCTTGAGGATGGGGCACAGGACTGAATTAACTCTACAGCAGTGGTGTTCGGGGCAGACAAGGGAGGGGGCCGGTTTGGGGTGGTTCTGAGACCTTCTCTCAGTGAGCAGCAGTGAGTGACCAAACAGCAGCTGCGGGTTTACATTCTGGTTTCCGGTTCTCTCCAGTCAAGAGTCTGAGCTTTTGCGTGACAATGTAATACACATAGATCACTGTGAAAACGGCCTCATGTCCCACTGCATTGTCAGTGCGGTAGGGAGCCTTGCTGCCTTAGTCTGTAGGAAAAAACAGGGAGAACTGGCTTCTCTCATTCACGGTTTTTACATTTTAGTAATAATCTTCTTTGCGGAAATCAGGTTTATAGGGTGATCAACAGAGAAATATTTATAATGCAAAAGCCAAGACTTTGGTAAAATAAATCTTGGTATTTTCTTAGAATACTATGCTTGAAATGACTATGTGCAGATATCTTTAGCAAAGAAAAGAGTTCTGAATATTGGGAAATTTTCTTTTTCCTTTTTTTTTGGTTTGAGTATCGTGCTTAGTGAAAAGTACTGTGGAATAATTAACACGAGTAAGTTGGTTTCCTAAGAGGGTTTCTAACATAATGATGCTCAGATGAAAGCCTGGGCCACTGAGATGAGAGGCGGTGGTTAAAGGTGCTTGCAGCCCACACCTGAGTTCAATCCCCAGGACCCAGAAAAAGGTGGGAAGAGAGAAAGTGGTTTCTCAGAGTGGTCACCTGACGGCAACACAGCATGTGTGCACACACAACAAAAAGACACTCAGTAATAGTAATGACAATAACGATGTCTAGAAATACCATGCATGCAAAATACCAACAAGGTGCTGGAGAGAAGGCTGCAAGCTGGGTGTGGTGGAGCACGCCTTTAATCCCAGCATTTGGGAGGCAGAGGCAGACAGGTCTCTGTGAACTGGAAGCCAGCCTGGTTTACATTGGGAGTTCCAGAACAACCAAACCAAGGCTACATAGTGTGTGTGTGTGTGTGTGTGTGTGTGTGTGTGTGTGTGACAGAGAGAGAGAGAGAGGGAGGGAAGGAGAGAGAGAGAGAGAGAGAGAGAGAGAACAAGTGCAGTGGGTTGCTCTTCCAGAGAACCTGGGTTAGATTCCCTGGGTGTCAGTCCTGCATAACAGCTAACAACACCTGTAACTCCACTCCCAGGGAATTTGACGCCTTCTTATGGCCTCCTCCTTGGATTCTGCAAGCATGTGGTAAACAGACAAACAAGCAGGCAAAACACCCATACACATAAAATAAAAATAAATAAATCTTAAAAAATATTGAGAGTGACAAGATTATAGAAGCTTACATTTTAATCTTTTTACTAATATGCATTTGTAGTTTTTGAATGAAGTACATGGATTATTTGATTAATAAAATAATTGCTATAAATTTTAATACGATAGTGGATAAATAAAATTTGGTCAGAAAAGTATATATTTTTTTTCTTTTTCTTTTCTTTTCTTTTTTGGGACCGTGTTTCTCTGTATAGCCCTGGCTGTTCTGGAACTCATTCTGTAAACTAAGCTGGCCTCAAACTCATAGAAATCCATCTGCCTTTACCTTCTGAACACTGGGATTAAAGGTGTGCACCACTTCTGCCCAGTAAAAATAGTATATCTTAACTGTTCTTGCATACACACTCATGTAACCATGTGAGGTGAGAGATTTACCAGCTGACTTGATTGTAGCAAACATTTCATGAGAAACACATTTAACACCACCATGTAGATACCTGCAGTGGGATGGTCTTTCTGTATGCTGTGAATATGTATCACTCTCATTGACTGATAAATAAAGCTGCTTTGCCCTATGGCAAGGCAGGATAGAGCCAGGCGAGAAAACCAAGCAGAGCTACAGGAGAAGGACAGAATCTGGGAGACACCAGCCAGCCATTGAGGAGGCAAGACATAAAGATACGCGGTAGTAAGCCATGAACCACGTGGCAAAGCATTGAAAAAAATGGATTAATTTAAATGCAAAAGCAATCTCATAATAAACCTGTGTCATCAGCCAAACATTTATAATTAATATAAGCCTGAGAGATTATTTGGAAGTGTCTGTAAGACTGGGGGGAACAGAGAAACTCTGCTTCTAGATACCCTCCAAATATACAATGTTATTTGCCAATGTGCTTCAAAAGATGGAAAAATATTGAATAGATATGGAGAGAGTGTCTTGTTCCTGATTTCAGTGGAATTGCTGGGAGTTGCTCTCCATTTAGTTTGATGTTGGCTGTTGGCTTGCTGTATATTGCCTTTATTATGTTTAGGAATGGTCCTTGTATCCCTGCTCTCTCCAAGACCTTTATCATGAAGGGATGTTGTATTTTGTCAAAAGCTTTTTCGACATCTAATGAGATGATCATGTGATTTTTATTTTTCAGTTTGTTTATATGGTGGATTACATTGACAGATTTTCGTATGTTAAACCATCCCTGGGATGAAGCCGACTTGGTCATGGCGGATGATGGCTCTGATGTGTTCTTGGATTCGATTTGCCAGTATTTTATTTAGTATTTTTTGCATCAATGTTCATGAGTGAGATTGGTGTAATTCTCTTTCTTAGTAATGTCTTTCTGTGGTTTGGGCATCAAGGTAATTGTAGTCTACCATCATTTTGAGTGAGGTAACCCAGACACAGAAAGACAATTATCACATGAACTCACTCATAAGTGGTTTTTAAACATAAAGCAAAGAAAACCAGGCTACAAATCACAATCCCAGAGAACTTAGACAGCTATGAGGACACTAAGAGAGTCATACATGGATCTAATCTACATGGGAAGTAGAAAAAGACAAGATCTCCTGAGTAAATTGGGAGCATGGGGACCTTGGGGGAGGGTTGAAGGGGAGGGGAGAAGCAGGGAGGGGAGCAGAGAAAAATTTATAGCTCAATAAAAATCAATAATAAAAAAGCACTGCATTAAGACAATAAAAAGATGGAAAAATAATTGTACAGAACATAAAAGCACAGAATTTCTATAAATTTCTATGAGGTTATTTATAATATTTTCAGGCTGAAAGCTTTCTTAAAGAATACCTGGGCCTGGAGAGATGGGTCATTGGTTAAAAGCACTGACTGTTCTTCCAGAGGACCTAAATTTGATTCCCAGCACCCACATGACAGCGAACAATGATCTTTAAGCCCAGTTCCAGAGGATCTGATGGCATCTTCTGGCATCTATGGGTACCAGGCAGACGAGCATGCTGGCAAAATACCCAAACCCATAAAATAAAATCAATAATTATTTTATTTTAAAAAGAACACCTAAGCCTCTTATTTTATTTAAAAAAAAAAAAAAGCACCATAGCAGTGAGAAGGAGACAGATTTTGGTCTGAGTGCAGAAGTTCAGGTTCTAAATTCCTGGTAAGGGACCAAAGAGATGTTTCCTAAAGCACCAGGGCACTTGTGTAACCTGGCGTGGGGGCACAGTCATTTACTGATGCCAGGAGGTCTCAAAAATGCCCAGATCACTGCCTGCTCAACAGAGGAGAGAACTCTCAGAGCGTGAGAAATCCCCTCAACCCTGCGCCCCGGCCCCGCCCTGGCTCCGCCCCAAGACGCCTGGTGAGCTGCGCTTCCCCACTTGCCAGGTGAAGTCCGCTCTAGAGAAAGCTGTTATAAAGAACTCCCTGTGGCAGGGTGTCGACGACATCTTTCATGAGAAAGGCGATCAACTTGGCACCATGTGCAATTAAACAGACCCCGGAGGTCTGAGGAGACTCACAGGACCAGCCTTCTTACTGTGCGCGTTGGGCTAAATTAATAGATCAGCTGGGATCGATACAAAGGGAAAATACTAGAGAGTCTTGTTGCTATGTGCTGCCCTTGGAGAGGCCCTGCCGGTTCAGCTTTGGGATCTGGGTGACATTTGGCATTGAATTCCGTATCTTAACATCTTTATAGGAGGCAGTTAGGCTGAGTAAAACCCTTTAGAAAGCCTGCCGTCCAACTTCCCCACCGGCTTTCACTTCCGTTCTAGTCTCTGCTTCTTCCAGGGACTTGGACCCCAATCTAGGAAGATTTAAAATCATTTTCTTCTAGCCTGGCAAAGGACCACCTTGCCATTTGGGGGCTGTGTGAAGGCATATTTTCAGTTTAGAGAGGCATCCTCCATTTTTAAGCCGATCTGGCATGTGCTTCTTTACACTGGGGGGTTGTTACTCAGAGTTTTCTCTTTTTACTTTTCAAGGGAGGCTTGGGCTAGCAGGCTTGGTCATTAGAAGCCTGGAGGACTTACCTAGATGATGCAGGAAACAACATGGGACCAGGCTAAAGTGGAGACCTTTGGCCTAAGAGGCACTTACCTTCTTTAGGTAGCTTTACCCTTTTCTACTTTAATTCAGAATGCATTTTTTTTTTCTTTTTTCGAGACAGGGTCTTTCTGTGGTTTTGGAGCCTGTCCTGGAGCTAGCTCTTGTAGACCAGGCTGGTCTTGAACTCACAGAGATCCACCTGCCTCTGCCTCCCAAGTGCTGGGATTAAAGGTGTGCGCCACCACCGCCCGTCTCCAGAATGCATTTTAACTTGTAAAAGGACGCTATTTCCCCATCTCCCCTTTCATCTCTCTCTCTCTCTCTCTCTCTCTCTCTCTCTCTCTCTCTCTGTGCGTGTGTGTGTGTGTGTGATATGTGTGGGTATATGTCTGCAGGTGAGTGTGCGAGTGTGTGAATGAATCTGGAGGTTAGGGGAACAGCCTTATGTAGGAAGTTATGATTTACCAGGCCAAAAGGAGCCAACCTGCAGGAGTCTGCCCAGAGCTGTTATAAGTCCTGATCCTCCCTAGTCAGTGAGGGGTGACCACACGATGCCAATGGATCCGAAAGCCTGNGTGTGTGTGTGTGTGTGATATGTGTGGGTATATGTCTGCAGGTGAGTGTGCGAGTGTGTGAATGAATCTGGAGGTTAGGGGAACAGCCTTATGTAGGAAGTTATGATTTACCAGGCCAAAAGGAGCCAACCTGCAGGAGTCTGCCCGGAGCTGGTATAAGTCCTGATCCTCCCTAGTCAGTGAGGGGTGACCACACGATGCCAATGGATCCAAAAGCCTGGGTGCTGGGAGGGTATGTACGTTTTTTCCTATTGTTAGATAAATCAGTCTTGGGTGTCATTTCTCAGGTGCCTTCTACCGTTTGTTAATGACAGCATTTTCTCCCTGCCTGGAGCTTCAGCAAGTAAGCCAGACTGCCCGGGAGAGCTGGTCCCTGGCATCCTCAGTCACCAGCCCCGTGGCCTGTCCATGGTTTTTTATTTAACTAAGTGGCTCATGACAATGGAACCACCAGGGCTCAGAGGCTGTCTTTATTAGCTGAGCATCTTTCTGACCCCTCTGAAGAGCTAGGAACACCCTGGAAGGGGCATTGAGCTGGTATGTAAACATGGCCACCAACTGCCTGCTGAGTGGGAGTGGGTGAGGAAGGAAGTTACTCGAACAAGGGAAGTGCTGAGCAGAATTAGTGTGTTTCAACCACTTAACTATTGGTATCTGCCGTTTGTCATTCTGTCCCTCACAGGTAGTGTATTTCTGTAGATGGCTTTTCTGTCAACTGGAATGAATGAAATTTTGCTCATGGGGATTTTGAGAGGGAAGTAGGTCTTGCTTATTAAAATAGCCCCAAGAAAGGACTCATGATGCATTTTATTGGGGTGCTTTTGGAGACTGTTAAATAAAAACGGTTTAGCTATAAAACTGTTGGAGTTAATCAGTGGAATAAAAATATGAGGGCTGTTTAGGCGAGGCAGCGAGCGTAAGTCCTATTCAAATGGGAAATAGGAGCCCAATTCTAGCAGTGAGACAGAGCACGGACTAAGAGCTCAATGAACACAGTGTACTAGTTTCTCAGGGCAACCTGCCTCTGAAAGGTAGGGGCTTTTATTCTAGAGGAACTGTTACAGAAAACAAGGGCATGGAAGACCACATCCTGGTGCTGTGACTGGGTTTGCCTTCAGAAAGGGACTTGTGATTTTTCTGGCAGGAAAGCTAGGACCCTGAGTGGTTTGAGTATCCCCCACAACTGTAGAGAGGTAACTTGAGAAGGGAATGGCTGTG